CTCGACTCATTTGTATTTGAATTTTGGGCGTGATTTTATTGAGTTGGGGGTGATATATGCCAAGTGTGGGGGAGGTGTATCAGGGGCTCGTGAGTATATATTGATCATTTGGAGAATTTTGGCTATTGTCTTTCGGTGTGAGGCTCGTTCGGAGTTATTGATGATTGTTTTGGGGGAAATGCGGTGCACTTAGGCGTTTGATTTGAATCTCACTATATTATTGGTGTTCGGTTGTGCTTGAGGTCATGCCATGGCGAGTATTAATATAGGGCGAGAGGCCCAATTTTGATCTTTCAAGCATACGTGTGTCTTCGTCGAGTTTGTGGATTCTCGGTTATTATCTCTCCGAGACGCATACATGTGGCCTTTACTCGGAGCCGTCGGACGGGATACTCTTGTATTTGCATGTCATAGTGCCTGGATGGCTCATGGTCGATATGCTTTGATTGTCCAATCATTCGGATGGCTTTGTTGTGCACTCGATGGCTTTTGGATGATTTGCTCTATTCCCACAGGACGAATACCATTAGACACACGATGGTGCACCACCGTGTAGAGTACGCGCTTTCTTTTCCCTTCGTTATTTTTTTTTCTTTTTCTCTTTATTTTTATGTGCTCTGTGTTTCTTTTCGTATTCTCGTTTGTATATATTTTGTTTTATTTTGTCGATCGCATGAGCTTGTGTGTCAACGTGCTCTTTCCTATGCTTTTTGGGTCAAGCAATGAGGACATCGCTTTGTTTTAAGTGTGGGGGAGGGATTTTCGTGATTATGCATGCTTAGGCGTCATTTCTCTTATTTTCGGTGCTTATTTTTTCGTTTTTGTTGAGTCGTGGACCGGTTTTGTTTTGTTTTTATTGTGTTTTGTGTCGATTTCCCCATATGAGGCTTGATGTGAGTCCAATAGTGCAAATGACTAAGTGACTAGTTTGGATTGTCGATCGTTTTCATTATTAACTCTCATGCCTTATGTGCTCAATGATTTTGACGGTTTTCATAAAATGAGATGATTATTTGTTGGCATTGGAACTCATATGTGGATTCACGAAACTTTCTTGTCCTTTATTCGTTCTTGATTGATGATCTTGGTCATGCTTGCCTTGTGCTTGATGATGTGTAAACGTGTTATGCTATACACTTGAGTTATGTCTTTATTGGATTGTTATGACTATGATATTGTATCTGATGTACTCTTGTGCGCCTTTCCCTTAAAAAAAAAAGAAATAAAATGTGAGTTCGCGAGGAAGTACGGATTAGGCTCCTCTTATTCCGAACCACTTCGTGGATTGGGATAATGAGCCCGGGAAACTGTTTAGGAAATTCGAGGAAACCCCTCGAGGTTAAACCTAGATCATCTCGTCTGGAAACTTTGTTTGGAAAGAGAAGCTCACGGAAATGAGTTTGTGAGAGTCAAAAGGATTAGGCTTCTCTTGGCTTGGTTAGTCTTCTAGATAAACCGGGTTAAGGAGTACGGGAAACCGGCCTAGGAAACTCGGGGATAACCCCCGAGGATAAACCTAGGTAATAATTGTCCTAACGGCTCTCATTTGGAAAAAGTAACTCATAATAATAAAAAAAATGAAAAGAATAATTGGCTCATGGTCTCATTTTTATCATCTTGTATATTGAGTTGACCATTTTTAGTTTTTTGCACGTGTTTGTTGTAAAAAAAAAGCTTGACTTGAGTGAATCATGATTGAATAACTTGGGCTTGTTTTTGTTTTGTTGAGTTCATATGTGGGAACCGTACCCTCGAATTTGAGTTGAGTTTTGTGAATAACCGGATGATAATGAGAGTTACATGATGCATGTTTGTTAATCTTGGACCGTTTGATTTCTCCTTTCGAACTACTTGTTATTTTATTTGCTTGAGGACAAGCAAAGAGTTAAGTGTGGGAGAGTTGTTTATTGTGTTTTTGTCGTTATTTTTGTGTGTTTTGTGTGCTTTATCTTATAGTTTTAGGCTCGTTTTTGTGTCGATCGGTCCATTTTATCGTGTTTTGTGTATTTTTGTTATTGTATAGTGTTTTCGTATTTTTGCGCGTTTTCTCTTTTGTTTAGGTGTTGAATAGGCCCAACGTGTCGAGAACGA